AGTGATCCCCCAAGGGTTGCTAAGTGTTGGGTCAGCCCTTTAGGTGCTGTCATCAGAGCTTCCTGGACAATACCCACCTCAGAGCAGGCAGCAGACGTGTATCTGATTCCAAGAGCCCAGGCTTGGTGCTGTGTCCTCCTGTCTCATCCGCTGGAGTAGGAGGAAGAACTGGAGCTGAGCGTGACATCTCGCAAGCAGTTTGAATGGTTGCTGTGCCAAACACGTAGGAGCTGGAAACAGCCAAATGAACCAGCAATGCGGCGATGGGGGAAAATGCAAATTATAAAAATTTTGAATATATAGTTGAAGATGCTGGCTAAAGTAAGAGGCTTTAGTTAAGAATAGTCTTAGAAGTGGATTGACTTTGGAAGGATGCACCAGTTTGTGGACGAGAGGGATGAGAACATTTCATGAGGGTCTGGCATGACGGGAGGGTGGTGTACCAGTTGCCATCTCTTCACGTAAGGTTCAGTGGATGCTGCTGCTGGGAAGGTAACGAGAGCAAACGTAACCATGCTTGGTGCAGAGGGCTCTCTAGATGTTTTGTTTCCTTGGCCTCTCAGCTATATTTGATGCAACTGAGCCCTCTAGCTTCTGGGACACTTCTCAGAAGCTAGAGGGCTTAGTTGCATCAAGTGAGTTGCATCAGTTGCATCAAACATAAGGCAAAGCCATTCTTTCTCACAGTTTTCTCTCAGATATTCTTTATTTTTCATTAGCAGTTTGTCCTCTAGACCATTGCCCCCTCCTTTGTTGTCTCTTTCTTTTGGAGTTCGTCTATCCCCGTGGTTATAATGAATACTTCTTACAACCCTGGGTGATGTTACTTTTGATCTGGAGCCACCATGGGGGATGTGTGCCAGGAAGGAATGGAGCTCCCACTACTGTCAGGAGTGCACCGCAAACCAGCTGTGGCCAGCCCACAGTGTTGAGTCACTGATCCCTCCAGACTAACCGGTGAGTTTGCTACATGGTAGGCTGTGGGAATTTACCTCCCGGCTTAAATCTGGCCAGTACTCCTGCAACCCTATTTGTGAAACTTAACCCAGAATGGTTGCAAGGCTCCTTCAGGAGAAACTGGCTCAGTAGCCCTGCTGTAGCCGTGGCCCCTCACTTGCACTTGGAGATGATGGTGGCTGCCCACCCACTCCACCAGCCTAGGTAGCATATGACTGTAGATCTGATGCCATTTTCAAAATGATACTCTACTTTTGCCTATTTATTGTTCTTCGTTCCTTTCTGGCCCATACAGAGCTCTGAATAGAGCCTGATGAGCTACAATAATGAGGAACCCCCTGCCACAGATGCTGTGTAGCCCCTCAACAGAAGCAAGCAAGTATCCTTTCGGTTTTGATCTTAACTTGGTTTTGTTTTTTTTTTAAAGATTTTATTTATTTATTTGACAGAGAGAGATCACAAGTAGGCAGAGAGGCAGGCAGAGAGAGAGGGGGAAGCAGGCTCCCTGCTGAGCAGACAGCCCGATGTGGGGCTCGATCCCAGGACCCTGGGATCATGACCCGAGTCGAAGGCAGAGGCTTAACCCACTGAGCCACCCAGGCGCCCCTTAACTTGGTTCTTGATCGAGCCTCTAGGTAGGAGACAGTTGAATACATTCCTTGCATCCAGAAGAATAAATTCATATTCATTTGTGTTAGGCACTGGGCATAGGGAATACATTATATTCATTCATACTTAATTCCTGCAATGTTTTAGGGGCTATGCATAACACAGTGTAACAAGATGATCTTGCAAAGCTTATGTAGTCTACTAGAGGCGACAGGATGAAACTACGAATTTTAACATCTGGTAAGAAGACAAGTTAGGTAGATGATGCCAAGGGGCACCAAATGCAGGAGGTAGGAAGGCTTCCTGGAAGAAGTGATGCCTTAGTGGAATGCTTGCTACCCAGTAGGCTGGTTGACAGGAGATAAGTTACAGCTGAGATTTTGAACAGAGATGAAACAAAGGCTAGAAGAGGTGGATATATAATGAGTTTGGTTTAGATGTGTTAAGCTTGATGTGCTTGTGGGAGATTTTAATGGAGAGGGCATCTGCTCAGGAGACAACTAGAGAGAGATTTCAGGGTGATCAGCCTATGGGTAACTGAAGCCATGGGAGTGGCGGGTATTACCCAGAGTGCTGGTGCAAAGTAACAACCCGGGGAAAATATTAAGGGGCAGTCAAAGTAAGCCCACAAAGGAGACTGAGTAGCCTCAGATGTAAAGGGACACCGGGGTAGAACAGAGCATGAAGCCAAGGCACAAGTTCCGTACATTCCTTGAACTCGTATGTTTCAGAACAGGGAACACCGTTCAGACAGAAGGATCTTAGATTTGCTGCTGAATTCTTAGGGAGGACTGCTGGTAATCACTACTCCAGAGCAAGGATCTTTTCCAAAGAAGACACTGTTAACCAAGCTATTCCTACTGCGGGGCCAATGCTCTAGCGGTCTTCTCCGGTTCATTTGGCCCATCCGCATACCTCTGCAAAGTCTTAATGTCCATTCCTAAGACCTAATGAGTTTTCAATCTGCTTGAAAGCTCTTCAGGAGGAGGCTTGGCAGCAGCTTCCCTCACACAACCTTGTGACAAATTTCTCTTGTCCTAGTGTTCTCAACAGGTTGCACTGCCTGCCGAGAAACCCCTTTCCTTCCTCCCATATCCAGAAATCTTACCTTCCTCCCAGGAATTCAGTGTGGATAAATCAGGATGCTCTCAGTGGCATGTGTTAGTTTGTCTAATTCAAGCTGGCTTGAACAAGGAGGAATATTTGTCTCACATAGTTGGAGAATCAGAGGTTGGATTCAGACACTGAACTTAGGGTTGACCTCAGAGATGCCCTCAAAGGCTGTACTCTCTCCATCTCTGTTCTGCTGTCCTCAGTGTGTTGGCCTTGCCAAGGGTCATGCTTGTAACCGTCCTTCAGAATAATACACTGCTTAAACTATAACTTTAACCAACGAGGAGTTGTACTGGTCACGCAAGCATACTTAAAGATGACCTTGAGAAAAACATGTCCTAGCAGCAGGCCTCTAGTGCAGGGGATGATACACGTCTTGGAAGCCGAGCAGCTGGAACTCTGGCCCGCTCAGGGTGGAACACCAGCCGCTTCCCTTTGTCGTTGTCTCCCCCACGTTGTTGGAGAAAGCCTCCTGTTACAGTTACCCCTTTAAGTGCATTTGCACAACTGCGAATCATGCTGCTGGACCAGACATGCCCTGCTCTTCTTGTTTACTTCGTTTACCTCTAAAACTTGTGACCTACATATGACTCACATTCCTCCTTGTTTACCTACTACACATACGGCTAATGTATAAACTTCTTTTCTTCTCCTTTGTTATCTTGTATCTAATAAATACGGGATTGAGGAGTTGTTCAGGCACAGTCCTTCCAGCTGTCGTCCCCTGCTGCCATTCTCTTACAGCTGACTTGTTTGTACCTCATTCTTACCCCGTGTGCTGTTAGCAAAGCAGCAATACTGGCTCCCCTCTTGCTCAAGGCCTCGCATCCAGACACTGTCCAAAGGAAAGAAGGATCCATCCTCCTGTTTCTTAGAAGTGAGAATATTGTTCCCAGAGCCCAGCCAGCCAGCTTCCCCTCACCCTTCTGGGTCACGTGTCTATTCTGAAACCATTGCCCAGGGCTAAGATTGATTAATTAGAGTAAAATGGATGTTGGGAATCAATCACTGCTCTGGCCGGTCAGTCTGACTTCTAATGCTTGGCATAGAATAGAGCTTTGCATAACTTTCACCTTGTCTCAGTCTCATTCCCCTGACCGATCAGTCTAACTTCTAATACTTATCATAAAATAAAGCTTTAAATAACTTTCACTTTGTCTCAGTCTTGTTTCATTTAATAAAGGACCTAACAATTTGAGAGCCCGTGGGCGCACATGAGCAGGGGAAGGGAAAGAGAGAATTTCAAGCAGATGCTGCGCTCTCACGGAGCCCAACTCGAGGCTCAATCTCACAACTGTGAGATAATGACCTGAGCAGAAACCGAGGTCTTAGGCAACCCTAGGGGATTGTTAAAGCTTTTGGATAATATGAAAATTCATTAATATTTATTAATGCATTAACCCCTTGTGGGTCCAACACTGCCCTGAGGGCTAGAGAGAAGACAAGGCAAGGTCTGTCTCTGGAAGGGTGGGCTATACTGTGGGGTGTGTCTAGAAGAAAACGCCCAAACCGGAGGCTGAAAAGTGAACGGGTGGGGTTGGGGGTGGGTATTAAGGTCCTAGATAGCTCTGAGAAAGTCCGAGCTTTGCCGGGTAAGAGGAAGTCGTAAAGGGTTTGAAACAGGAGTGGTCCAGCTTGTTACATGCACCCGCTTCTTGCAAATTTCTCCAAACTGTTACCTGGAGGAAATCCTTTTGGTCTGTGGGATTAAGACACTCCGACCTCCTCACACATCAGCGCTGGAGCTGATCTGCCAGCATGATTATAAGGCAAGTGGTGCCAACCCCACAGGAAGGCACGGAGAAGGGTTTGCCCAGAGGAGAACCCAGTTAACCCCTAATGAATGGATGATGATCTGTGGCGCCCGGTCAAAATGGAGAGGCGCTTTCGAAGCCACCAGAGCAGAAGCACACAGAGAACCGCCTGCAGGCCTGCAGCTGTCAGGATTCGTAGCCACATTCTCGCCAGTGGGATTTGAGTCCTGGGTTGAACGTGGGGTATTACTGTCACCCCCACTTTCCAATGACTCGAAAAACACTAGGTTCAAAAAAACCCACCCCCGGCCCCCAAAACAAAACGCCAAGACAAACAACAACACGAGCGTTCGGATAAAAGGCCTGAGGCGGGGGGCGGCGGGGCCCGCGGGTCCGCCCACTGCTTCGGCCCCCAGAGTCCACCTCATCCCGGAACGCCCCGCCGTCGCGCCTGCGCACTAGCGCCCGCGGAGACGGAGGCGGGGCAGCCTGCGGCTCCGCCCCCCGGCGCGGCCTGTGAGCTGCCGAGCAAGGCTTTGCCTCACTCGCCCACAGCTGCAGGTGGGTAGCAGCTCGAGGACTGATCGTGCGGCAGGATGAGTGCAAGCTCTGATCCCGTGGTCATCGTCTCGGCGGCGCGGACCGCCATAGGTAAGTGGCCGGCGTTGGCTCAGCCGCGAGGACCCCGGAACCTCTGGGACCTCCCGGAACCGGCACTCCACGCCTTCTCGGGCCGGCCGGCCGACGGTCCCACCCCGTCGTAGCCCGCGGAGCCCACTCCGCCTCGCGTGCTCTGATTGGGTCTGCGGGTAGAACCACCGTGCCGCCTTGCTCTCCCATTGGCTGGCGAAGGGAGGTGCTCTCTTTCGAGTCCTCTGGTTGGCCCCTCCTGGAGGAACCAGGTCAGCCCTGTGGCCGCAAGGGTGGGGTCGCTGGTGGTCCGAGCGGGGCCGCGCAGCTGAATGGAGGATTCCTGAGAATTGCCTCCCGGTGCTTAGTGCGGCAGAGATTTCAAAGACTTGGGCGCGCGGGACTGTCGAGCCCTTTTGTTAGGGAAGTGTGGGCCGACCCCGTCTGCTGGCGCTTAGGAGATGGATGCGAGGGTTTCCCGCGGGTCCGTACCCAGAAGAGCCGCCTGGGCGCCCTTGTCGCGCCCGCCTTCCTTTCTGCCCTAGGTTCCTTCAATGGTGCTTTAGCCGCTGTCCCTGTCCGTGACCTGGGCTCAGCTGTCATCAAAGAAGTCCTGAAGAGGGCCGCTGTGGCTCCCGAAGAGGTGTCAGAGGTCATATTCGGACACGTTTTGGCAGCAGGTAACTCCTCGGAGGTCAGGTTCATTGGAAGCAGCCCGCCAACACCCCGCTCACACCTCCTGCTCCCGAAACTCAAGTGTTCAACTCCGGAGATCTGCTCCTGGAGTTACCTCTGTTGGAATTCTTCCTGTCGCTCCCCTGCCATGCCCCTGTCGATAGCTTCTGTCCAGCTTGATACCCCGCGACTTTCCTAGGCGTTTCCTGATGAGCCCAGGCTAGACCACCGCCCTCCACTGTCTTTTCATTCTTCCTTTTTTTTTTCTTTTTTTAAGAGTTTATTTATTTGACAAACAGATCACAAGTAGGCAGAGAGGCAGGTAGGGAGAGAGAGAGGGAAGAAGGCTCCCCGCGGAGCAGAGAGCCCGAGGATCATGACCTGAGCTGAAGGCAGAGGCTTTAACCCACTGAGCCACCCAGGCGCCCCTGCCTTTTCATTCTTTAGAACCAGGCCCATTGGAGAGTGTACACAGCCCTCTATGTGCGCCTAAAGTGTCACACATTGAACAAAAGTGGATGAATTCCTCCTTTGTGCCCTGCACTGTGCCAGGTGCTGGGAATAGGGCTCCAACAACACAGGTAAGGTTCGGGCCCTTAGGCCTGGTAAGGCTCACTTCCAGCTCCTCACAGGGGATAAAATCCCTGGATGGGGGCAGGTGAGTCACCAGAGTGCTCCAGTCTCACTTCCCACTGAGTTTCTAGATCCTTGACCACTGACAGTTCTTAGACAGTTATTAAGAACTAGGTTCATGCTCAGGCAGCCACATAAATTCTGATCCTCGTGGTAATTGGAAATGCTCACTTACGACCAACTTTTGTCCTTACCCTGTCTGAGACCTGGCCCTTTTTTGCATATATTCATTTTATAGTTTTGTAGTTCTAATTCCTGATTCTCCTTTCTCATACTGTCTTGAGGGGCCATAAAGTTGGAGCCTACCACTTTCTCATGACTTTCAAGGGCTTTAAAATATGTAATATTCTCAGACTGGCTGTCTTCAGCGCACATCCTCCTTCCTTCTCAGACCCATGATTTAGACTTACTCAGATGCCATAGGGTCCATCATGACGGATGGACCATTATCTCTTCCACATCTGTGCTCTCTAGTATCTCCACATAATTATAAAACAAATAATAGCTATGTTCATTGAGGGCCTGCTGAATGCTGGGCCTTTAAAGCACTGGGCTTAGTGCTTTCACTGCTTTACTGAGTCCCGTCAGTAAGTGCGTTGAATCGTATTATCTCCGTTTTGCAAATGAGTAAGTGAGCTTTTGAGGGGCACAGTTTGAAGTGCAGCTAGTATTTGAATCCTCATCTGTCCTACTCCCTAAGCCTAGGTACCCTTCACAATCTAGTTGAAAGATCACTGAAGGAACATTTCCTCCTTCTTATGATATTAATAACTTCCTTGTGGAAAAGAAAGCTTATATCCATAAGCACAGACTAATCCGTATTCAGGGGCTAGACTGGCAGGTATAGAACGGACACGGGCCTTTTTCTGTCTGGTTGGGAGTGTGGCTTGGTTCAGCTTGGCTGGGAAGTGATAGGAGCCCAGTTGCTAATCTAATACTGTGCACTTTCATCTAAACATTTTCCCCTTCTGTTTGATTGCTGAGCTGTCTCTGTGTTCCCTCCGCCAGGTTGTGGGCAGAATCCTGTTCGACAAGCCAGTATGGGTGCAGGAATCCCTTACTCTGTTCCAGCATGGAGCTGCCAAATGGTCTGTGGGTCAGGCCTAAAAGCCGTGTGCCTTGCAGCACAGTCCATAGGGATAGGAGACTCCAGCATTGTGGTTGCAGGAGGCATGGAAAGTATGAGCAAGGTAAGGCCTCTGGAGAGATGGCTGTCACTGACCTCTTGCCAATAGACTCACCTCCGTGCCATAGCAGAGCTGAAACCAAACAGTAAACACACAAAAAACGGATTCAACCTTGATCTCTATCTTGATGGTTTTATTTTTATATTTTTAAAGATTTTATTTACTTATTTGAGAGAGCAAGAGCATAAGCTGGGTTGGAGGCAGGGGGAGCAAAAGGAGAGGGAGAAGCAGGCCCCCCACTGAGCAGGGGTCTGACACATCCGTGGTTATATAGTCACATAGTCACAACAGCTCTTAGAGGGTAGGAGGTATCATTCCCAGTTTACAGATCAGGAAACTGAGGCCCAGAGCCAGAATTCGAATACAGATCTTCTGACTCCAAGTGTTTCCTTTCTATTACAGCTGCTATTGAATCGGTAGGAGTTAAAAAGATCCCCACCTAGAAATCCCTTTCCATTAGTTAGTTAGGCCACCTGATGATTCTCACTATAGGCATTATGTCTTTTATCAGAGGAAGTTACACACTGTTAGCGTCAGTTATGCCTTTAGATGAGCTCCTCATTTAACAGATAACTAGTTGCCTCTTTGGAAAGAATAAATGAGGTTCTTAAGGAAATCAGAATGGAGAGATTTGGTGATAAATGGAAATAGGGTAGGAGAGTAACAGCTTTTCAGGGGTAGAAATGATAGAGTAGTCTGTTGATTCCAGGGGTCCCCAGGCCCCAGACCTGGGTGGGGCAGAGGATGGGCCAGAACTGGGGAGAAGGGTCACAAGGGGGATCTAGGTAAAGACTGAGTAGCCACTGGGTAGTTTTTAGTGGGATCACAAGGACAGAGCTAGTGACAGACAATCCCAAATCCATTTGTATTTCTTGTTTCCAGGCTCCTCACTTGATTCATTTGAGGGCAGGAGTCAAGATGGGGGAAATGCCACTGACAGACAGCATCCTCTCTGATGGGCTTACCGATGCATTCCACAACTATCACATGGGCATGACAGGTAAGGCACCCACGGCCAAAAACACACTGAGTGCGGACAGGTTTCCAGAAGGTCCTATAACCACTGGCTTTGCAGGTGTTCTCTTCCTGAAGGGCAGAGATTGTGTCCTGATCATTCTGTCTTTCTCTCATATGGAATGTAAAACTCAAGCACAGAAGGGACACTTCATTTTAGACTTGAAGAAACAAGCCCTGAGATGTTACATGCCCTTGCTTAAATGTATGTGGCAATGGCTCTGGGTCCAGGAGCAGTAGAAATCAGGTGAAAGTCCAGTGAGTAAGTGGGGGAAAGAGCAAGAATCAAAGGAGAGGGAACAGTGTGTGTCAGGCTGAGGCAGGGCGGCATGAAGCCTTGGGGAGCAGTGAGAAAAATGGGCGTCTTGGCCACTGTGAGCGAGAGTGGCAGCAGGGGTGGCAGGAGAGTGTTGCCACACGCCAGCAGCCTCTGTGGGTGCCGTGCCGGGGTGTTCCTGGTTGTCGAGTCCAGGCCAGAGGTTCTCAAAGTGGGATACGACAGCCAACAGTCTCGATGTCACCTGAGGCTGTCAATGAAAATCCAGCTCCCGAGCCCTTTCTGAGGTGTTACGGGCTGAATTATGACCTTTGGAAAGTCCTGTGTTGAAGCCCAAACCCCAAGACCTCAGAACATGACTGAATTTGGAGTTAGGGCCTTTTAAGGAGTAATTAAGTTAAAGTGAGGCCTTTACCGTGGCCTCTAATGCCGTCTAACTGGCAGCCTTGTAAGAAGAGGACAGAATACAAGAGATGTGAGCTTGGGAGAAAGACTATGTGCGGACACGGTGATGAGGCAGCCGGGAGGAGTGAGGCCTCAGGAGGAAACAGACCTGCTCACCGGGGACTTCTATTCTCCACAATATGAGAAAATAAGTTTCTGTTGCTTAAAAAAAAAAAAAGGCCTCAGGCTGCCATGATGTAGTAATTAGTAAAGACTAGACTCCCTAATACAGACGAATATACAACTGGCCAAAATCTTTCAAGCTACTGCTTTCAAATGTCGACCACCAACAATCACGTGAGACTGAGATTCCTTTTTTTTAAAACCCTGCTGGGGCCCTTATTCACGAGGACCTTCCAGAACCCTCCATATTCCCACTCAAGGCTCAGCCCGCAGCACCCCGCAGCTTGGACTCCTGCAGGCGCCTGGTGGGGGGTGTCTGGAACAATCCAAATTAACAACCCCCCCCCACCCCCATTCTCTCTGGCTTTAGACAAAGGCTGTCACTCCTGGGAAGATCCAGTATGTTCTCCACAGTGGTGTAGGCATCGCCAGTGGCTTGGCCTCAGGGGCAGGTTGCAGGGGACGGTTTCACTGGCTCCTCCCCCGTCTCTTGCTGGTACCTCCTCTGCTCCTGGGGCGCTTGTTCTAACAGGGGTAGATGCATTCCTTCCACACAAACCGGTACCCAGGCCTTCCCATGGAGCCCCCGTCTGATGCCTGTCTGCTCATTCCTCCTATCAGCCTTGGGAAACCCTCCCTTCTAGATTTATATGGAGGAGCGTGTTATGTTGTTCCTCCACTTCAGGTGTTCTAGCTCCCCAAGGACAAGGTACAGGGAGTCCACCTCGAACGGCTCCGCCAACTTGGTGCAGACCAGGATCTTGTGCTTCGGGTCCGTGCTGAGCCCTCAGAATCACTTGGGATTGAGTCATGTCAGGGCCACAGTCTGACGAATGTTCTCAGTGTGCCCATGTCTGGATCTTGGCCCACGGGACATAATAGACCCCAGGTTTGGGCAGGATCTGAAATAGTTGAGAGGGATGTTGGAAGATTCCTAATGGGGCATTGTGACCTCAGGTTCCCTCTTTCTGCCCCACAGGATCCTGTGATGAGGAAGGGGTGGGTTAACAGAGCACCTCGCTTTCCCCTACCCAGGGCAATTTCTTGCTGTTCTTCTGGGGTCCTCTCCCCAGGGGACCACTCTAGAGCTCCCCTGAGTGAGAATGGGGGTTTTACCCATGCCAGCCCCGCCTCTACCTCAAATGCAGTCAGTCGTAAGACAGATTCTTCTTCTTCTTCTTCTTCTTCTTCGTCTTCTTCTTCGTCTTCTTCTTCTTCGTCTTCTTCGTCTTCTTCTTCTTCTTCTTCGTAGTCGTTGTCTTCTTCTTCTTCGTCTTCTTCTTCGTCGTCATCATCTTCTTCTTCTTCTTCTTTTTTTTTTTCTAATAGGCTCCACACCCAGCATGGAGCCCAAGGTGG